CTAATCTCATGATTTCAACATGCTGCAAACCCAACAGTCTACATTATTTCTCCCTACTAACTAAGTAATACACCGAGGCCTGCCTGTCTGCAGAGGATAAATGTTTCATCCATCCTCTACAGCAGCTTCATCTTGTTTGGGGTTATCGGGGGCTCGTTTCTGTCTTATGCGTGTGCAGTGTCCGCCATAATGTTTGGGACGAAGCCTCCTGAATTACCCTGTTTTTGTGACGAACTGTGCATTCTGCTGTTTAGCCTCTGTGTTTCCGTTCTTAGAAGTCTTCTCTGGATGGTCTCTGAGAAAGACATTTGTGATGACTAAAATCTAAAATATACCTGAAACAAGTCAGTGCCCACCCACAGGCTTCCCAACAATAGCCTATTAAATATTTCGCCTATTAGAATTATGCTAATTTCTGTTTCAAATTAGCATAATAAAGCTTCACTAAAGGTTAGGCCATGTTGCCTCTCAGCTGCTTCCACTGAAGGTCAATGATACCAGTTTTGTATCATTTCAGTAGGAACTTTGATGTTGTCACACAGTATAAACCAGAAATAGAGAGATGTGACTTAAGTAAATCCATTTAGTCGTTTATCAAAAACTCAATCATTTAATTTCTATCTTTTATATATAAAGGAACTTACAAACTCGTGTTGAATAACTTTCTCATTGTTGTCCTCCTTCTTTAATGCTATATATAGCTTGGACTGGATTACGTCATGACAACGTACGGATTCATGGAGAAACTACGGCACGATGACTCGTCCAAGTCACATGCCTGTGGGGCAGGCAGCATGAGAGCAAAATGAGGTTACAGGTGGAATTTCCCTAGTTTCTCCTTTCTCCCTGACGTCATGTCCAGCGCTGTTTTTTGTTTTTTTGTGGCTGGCGCTGGAGCCTGGCGATCAAACATGTCTGACGGGGGGATATTCAGGTGTGGAAAGCTCGAGGTGGTTAAACTGCAGCGCTGAATTAGGGGAACTTTGCAAACGACACTTCCCCCAGTAAGCCCATAGCAGAAATCCAGCCAACTGCTTTTCTTGTATGTTTTTTTTTTTGTGCTAAAAAAGGGAAGTTCAAGAGTTTTATTTCTCTTTTCACAAGCCGGTTCCAGCATTTCTGAAAGTCATTTGAAGTTTCAACCATCTCATAGGATTGTTTGTTTAGTCAAAGCATATTAACATTGCCATCTTGTGGTTATTTTCAAGGGACCAAATGACAACAAAATATACACACCCCTGTGAAGGTGTCATTCTATTCATTTTGAGCTTGCAAGTTTACTTGTAAGTTTGATTAAAAACAGCGGGCAGAGAAAAGGAAATAGGAAAGTTTAGCATTTTATCACACATGCCAACTTGCAAATGAAAAAGACAGCAGTATACCCTGGCTCTTGAAAGGCCTCTGAAAGCTTTTGTGAAACTGGAGTGCCGCTTTGTCTACAAGATAAAAGCCCATTTCTTCTTTTTGTGAAGTCAAATCAATATCAAGGCCCATTAAGACAGGCGGGCACATCTTGGGAAGAAAAAGTATCTGATGTCTGAGGAGCCCTTCGCTGCTAAACAGAGAACAACAGACTGCTATCCATTGTTGTCCTTGGCCATCATCACACTCCTCAGCTGCTCAGACTGCTGACGGTGACATGACTGTCACAGGATAAGAAGGCTACCGGGAACTGCTCCAGCCGGCACACACACACACACACACACACTCAAAACTGGCCTTCATCTGCTAAAGCCTCTTCAATAATATTGCTATCAAAGCAGAAAGGAATAAGGCAAAGGAGGGGGCAGCAGCATGGCAAGATGCCTCTAAAACACGAACACATGTTTCAAACAAACAAGACGACTCCACGCCGGAGTATATTTGGAAAGTCTTGCTCTGAATAACTGTTTTCAGCGGATTGAAGTTTCCAATTATCCACCAGCCTCTGCCAGCATTCCCACCATGGGAAGACTTGAGGGGGAGAGAGAAGGGAGGGCCGGTGTAGAGTTGGTGGGTCCAGCTGGACTTCTCTCCAGAGGGACTGACAAACTAACATCTTATAACTCTCCCTTCCCCTCTGCGTCACGGCTGCCTGCTCTGAAGTGAGCAACTCCGACTGACCAATGAGACACTGTTTGTCTGTCCCATGATACAAGCATCTCAACCCAAAAATGTAAACATCTGGCAAACATTTAGACTCCCCACAGATTTGGGTAGATGCACAGCATACTAAAAAACACAATCCTGTCAAGCATTACAGACCTATATTTGTCAAATTCAGCAAACATTAATTTGTATTTGTCCTCTACAACAGCTCAATGAGCCCACAAGGATTCTCCCACAGCAGTTCTGTCCCATTTTAGTCAACAACTCCAGCCTGGAGCTGCCTCACGGAACGAGTGGCAACCTGCGTGTCATCCATGGCTGCTGTAGCTTTCAAGCTTTTAAGCCAAAACTGTCTGTAGCACCTCAGGTAATAGTTAAAACAGCTCAAATCCCCACAGAGTTTAAACCGCCACCCTTAATCTTTCTATTTCGATTAACGATACAACCAAAAAATAAAAAAGGCATTACAACTTTTCTGTAATACTAGACTTAAAAATGAGCTGGAGAATTAGTGCCATTCAGGATTGAGAAAATACCAGCACCAGTCATTTCAGCAGTAATATCCCTTCATTCTAGTCAGACGCAGAATATGTACCGATTTGGACATTGCTCTGCGAATCCAGTTAGCCACATAGTCTGAATTTCAACATTTTTCCAGGCACACGAGTGGAAAGGGTGACCTGGGGTAGAAAACATTCCTCATAATAATCCCAAAGTCAGAACTCTATCAGAAGACAAACTGCTTCTATAACTTGTGGCTATACGCAATATGAACTCTAGAAATTGATGAACTGAGCACACTCACTGTGTCAGTGTGGTCACATGCCAGCTGACTGACACAAAGAGCAGTCACTGTAATGTATGAAGTAGTGTGGAAAACAACGCCTTCACGATCCAGCTTCTAGTTATGAAAAAACAGTGTTATTTTTTCTTTCCCCCCCCATATTTCCTCTGTGTGATATACATCTTTATATTTAAGTGCTTTCAAATTTAGCCGGTAGAATAAATGTTGCAATATAAAGCATTTGCTAATATTATCTGTCAAAAGTTTCTGGGGAATTTAGAAAATATATATTTCTGGTTAAACCCCCCCCCCCAATTAGAGAACATTAAAATGACACAAAGTAACTTTAGTGAACTTTTGTTAGGTCCAAGAACACAGAGGCTGTGAAACATGGGACTGGACTTACTCTGGTAGGGGCTGTCATCAGAGGGGCGCATTCCCTGCTCCTTTGGGGGAAATTCAGAGGCAGTTCTCGTCCAACACGGCGACGCCAGAACGCGTAATGGTCCCCGAACCGATGCGAGGTGCTAGAGCAACATCCCGGCACAGTCCCCCTTCAGATTCCCCCTCCTGCTGCTGTCGTGTGCTTCCTGACACAAGGTCGCGGTTTTCTCCGATAGAGGCTGCTGATGCGTGGGGAATTCCTCGCAGTCACATTTTCCTTGGAAATAATTGGCCCGGTAGAAAAAGTTTGGTTTAAAACGCCTAGTTGAAGTAGGGGGGGGGAGTCGGGCACGGTTTGGAGTTTAGCAATAGGACTCACGGAAAAAGACGGTGGACTAAAAGTTAGATGTCCACATCAGATCCAGTTGATCGAAGGCTGCATGGGGAGAAATAAACACAAACGTGTGACGTAATTCAGCAGCTTAGTTTTAAAGACGTGAGTTACCTTTAGACGTGCAGGTACCTGGGCGGCAGGGCAGGGTTTTTATAAACCGTTGCGTACTCACAGGTGTACATTTACAGGCAATTAGCTTCTTCAGAAAAGATTATCTTAGAATACTTTACGGACCAAAAGTGTCATTTGGATTGTTCGCCAGCAAAATGCTTACTCAGATAAGGCTTGGCACAATGGTGATAGGCATCTTCCGGGAATGTCCAACCAGTTTTGAGATGAGGGCAAAAGATCTTCTCAGCGGGCGGGGTCTATACTAGATGCCCTCGCAAAAAAAAACATTATTTTACAATGTATATAGACGGTGTGTAATAGGCTCGCTGTTTTTGGCTGCTAATAAAGTTTACGTTTCATGGTGGGTAATAATTAAACTAGAAAATGAAAAAGACTTGTTCCCATACCGGGAGTCGAACCCGGGCCGCCTGGGTGAAAACCAGGAATCCTAACCGCTAGACCATATGGGAGGTCTGTCGTGATAAACAAAACATGACTTTTTCAAAACGACACTTAGGGCATAGTTGTCATCCTATCCTTTTTGCTGCAAAGACAGCGATAATTTTGTTGATCCCCATGTCCCTTAACACTTAAATCAATCCAACCGTCTGAACATGCTTCTTTTGCAGACTTTGGTTGTTTAAGTGCATGATTAACAACACCTGGGATGTGGGGTCCATCTTGTGGTCTTGAAGCAGTACTGTAGGTTGAAACTGGAGAACCGAGTCGGGTGATTTCACCATGACTCAAATATATTTCTTAAATGTACAAAGCTGAATCCACAAATAATGGCTCAGAAAATGATAAAGTCTTGATGGCATCTGGATAGTGGCTGCTTGCCAAATAAATTATATCTGGGTGCAAACATATGACGTAATTCAGTAGAATGTTTCAAGTATGCAGACGGGGTCCTCCATTCAATATCAAAATAATAATGTAACTGCATTTCTTACGACACACAACTAGTTTACATAACTTGCATACATATTTCGAAATCATTATTTAAGTTGCAAAACAATGGTGCTATTGGGGGACCTTTCAATTCACAAATAAAGTGGCAGTTGCCCCCTTCTCCCTGTTTCCAGGGATTGGTAGCGCCCATACTCTGAGATGCAGCCAAATATTTGTCAAACTAGTAGCGTTCGTTGGCTAGCCAATTAGAGGTTGAGAAATTTAAACATTTACAGAAATATATATTACTTTTGAGACACTTGGGGGGTTGCAAAAAGATTCGATTTCCGTGTTAACAGGATGTCAACTCCAGCAAGACGACGTTTAATGAGAGACTTTAAACGGTAAGTCAAAAGAAAACAACACAGAAGTAGGTTTGCTAACGTTAGCATCCTGAAGCTAGTTTGTTAGCTTTGAAGGCAAACCCAGCTACCGCAAATAAATAAGTGATATATAATAGTAAGTGTTTACTGGTTGATGTGGTTTGTTTGTTTAAAGCGAATACACTTGCCGTCGATCGCTTCTAGCATTTATAAGACCATGACTTATGAGATGTCGGTAAGTATCGTCAGCGTTACTGGTTAGTCTGTGGCACCGGCGTTAGCAAGGCACTTGGGAGTTGTAACGTTTAGGCTATGTAACTTAAGATCTCTCTTCGTTTTAGTTTCTTATTCTAAAATGATTTAGTACTGCAAGTAACAAAATTACTTATTCTTTGGTCCTTTTTTTAATTGTTGGGATTTTATATGTGTCTTTGATACACAGATGTAACAGGTAATGTAGATTGAAACAGTGTTCAAATGGCAATTGAGGGTAAAGGTTTGGTTACGTTTGCGTAACACTGAGTGATCAAATGAGCTCCTATCGTCAGGCCCTGATAATTCATGATTTAAGACTTTTGATCAGCAGCCACCTGCCATGCACTGCCAACTACGCTCAGTTCAACAGTATCAATGGCCTCAGAGTCTGTTTGGGCCATGGTTCCAATCAGTCTTTCAGCTCTAGAGAAACAGTCATTCATACGCTGGGTATTTGGTTGTTACAACCAAGTGGATGGAGGCACTGTCCAGTTTCACTCATTTAATAATGATCTGTATCTTACCTAATTATAAATCCTGAGTTAACTACTCAATACTGGAAAATGGATAAGCTCCATCTTGGCTGGGAGCTTGCAGCCTGTTGTGGGTTTATATGTCATTGGTGCATTTAAAACTTCCCTTCATAATGCAGTGACAACTTTGACATTAGAGGTAAATAAATCAATGTGCTTTGTTATTTAATTGTGCTTTTATCTAAACTATCAGGCTGCAAGAGGACCCCCCAGCTGGAGTTAGCGGAGCCCCATCAGAAAACAATATCATGGTATGGAATGCTGTCATTTTTGGGTAAGTGATTTTCACTGGTTGAATTTTGAACAGATTAAGTGTCTTTAGTTTGTGTGCTGCTTTTGTGTGTATTTTCATACTTCTATTTCTCTTATAGACCTGAGGGAACACCTTTTGAAGATGGTAAGTCTTTCTTTCTGTTCTGTTTGTATCTGTCTTCAAATATAAATGTAACTAATTTTTGATGACAGTTTTGGTCTTGGGGTTTCTGGGCTTTATTTGAATAGTTTTATGGATTGTTAATTATGTTGAAAGTGTATTTAGGTGCAAGTATAATGATGGTGAATATTTATAGATTGTCTAGAAAGGCACTTTCATAGATCACGAAATAAAAAAAATCTTCCCGGGCTTCCCAGGCAGCTTCGGACCAAAAGAAATGTTCTGAGTATCATTGATTATTGGCAACTGTGAGTTTCAGGAAACACTTTTAGAGATGTGTCATGTTCATGTTAGAATTTTGTTTGTCATTTATCGTGTTTAGTATCTGCATTTGAAATCATACTTTGTCATGTCTGAATACTTCCAGGTACATTCAAACTTACCATTGAATTCACAGAGGAATATCCAAATAAACCTCCCACAGTGCGATTTGTCTCCAAAATGTTTCATCCAAATGGTATGTCAATTTTGGTGTCTTTTAGTTATCTCTGTTTTGTATTACTGAAGAACTGACCATTCTTTATTGTGAATGCTTTGCAGTGTATGCAGATGGCAGCATATGCTTAGATATACTTCAGAATCGTTGGAGTCCAACATACGATGTGTCTTCAATCTTAACTTCAATACAGGTAGAGTAACCCTCCTACACACCGGTGCCTCACATACCATCTTAAAACAGTTCAAAACAGATTTAGTTCAGCCCACACAGCTTTATAAATAAGTGGACACTTTGTGTGTTTTCCACGTCATGACACACTAGCCTTAACTGACTGTGATGGACATTTTTTGGAAAGCTAACCACCTGATGTTCTCTGTGTATTTAAAGTCTTTGTTGGATGAGCCAAACCCTAACAGCCCGGCCAACAGCCAAGCAGCCCAGCTGTACCAGGAAAACAAACGGGAGTATGAGAAGAGGGTTTCTGCTATTGTTGAACAGAGTTGGCGTGACTGTTGACCTTCGCTGTTGTTGGAGTTTCATGTGTCCAGCCCAGAATCAAGAAACCACCAGATCCTACAGTGATATGTTGACACACCTTGAATCCCCTCAGTATATTTGTCCCCTAACTGTTGCTAGGTTTGTATGCTGTTGTGTTGTGGCATTCACTTCTGCCGAATGCTGTTGTTGGGCAATGGCGGATGTTTGTTCAAAGTTAATGTACCTTGTTATACCTGGGTTACTGCCTACATGCCCCAACATTTTACTTTTTATTTTCCAAAGGTGACAGCCAGCCTTTTGACTCATCTCTCCTCATAGATGAAATGAACTGACTGAATGATGTGGTGACAGTTCAATAGATCTGCTTGCTGTGGTTTGTCGTGCAGAGACTGCCAATTTATATTTACAGAAAAGAAAGCTGTTCATGGGTGTCTTTCTCTTTCAGCACGCTCCGACTTCTGATTTTCTGTGTGTTGAAAGCCTTTTGGGGGGTAGAACTAACATGGCACAGACAACCATCCCTCTGACAACTCAACAGATGCCTTTAAGGGGTCTTTTCCTCTGTTTTTTTCGTACAAATATGGCGTTTGCTTTTAAAACCTTCTACGTACTGGTAAACACAGCCCACATAATATAAAAAAGGAGACATTTTGTACCCTTACTGGGCTCTTGATTTAACTGCATCTTTTCTGAATAGAAATACATTTTACCCATTTAGACCAGCGACATATGGGTTTACCAGTCGACTTACTTAGAGGGTGCATCAAGTCTTTGTGGGTTGAGGCTGTGTAAAAATATATCTGTACTCTTTTACAATCTTTACAACTCAGCCATCATAGAAAAAAATCTGATTACAGTGTTTGAAAAAAAATATTTAAAAAATCCTTTTTCATATGAAACTTTGCACTGGTAACCCATATAACAAAGTGTACATTCTCCTGTAAATAAAATAAAATATACATCACTCTTCTGTCATTTAATTTACTCAAAATGCAAAAACATCCATCTTCTGGTTAGCCTGTGAATGGTTATCAGTGGGTTTTAATTTATTCAGTAATTACACTTGTGAAAACAAGCAGACAGGTTAACTGTACGCACAAACAGACATCACACTTGCAGATCAGTTACATTTCTAGGTGAAGATTTTCTCAGCACTGATACAGGTTGCAGAACGATCTCCAGGGGCTGAAATAGCAAACACTGCGATGTATTGCTGAACACAGAAGCGCCGCTATAGTGAGACTGATGACCTCTTAGCTACAGTTGGATGTTAATGCCGCTCTAATCCTTGTCTTTCACGAGTTAACCGTCAGCGATATTTCTAAACCTTTGAAAAGCTGCTTTTTCTGCCAGGTTCATTAAATGATACAAAAGAATAAACAGTGGCGAAAAGCGCGGTTTTCTTTCTTGAAAATACATGAAATAACCGAAGCGTTAGGATGTGATCTCACCGCGAGCTCAGATGAAAAAAGGCAAGAGGGATGACAGACTGCTCATCCTCCAGTCTCCCAATAAAGCTGAAATACAGAAGGTGAAAGAATGCAAAAACTACCTAAGTTATACCTGATAACGTGTTTTTTTTCTCTCTTTTTTTGTAAATTTTGTATAAACACGTACAACTTGAGAGGGATTTAAGAAAACTGATTGTTTTATGGTTCATGCAGTTTAGTGAAAGGCCTGAGGTTTGACCAGCTCGTATCGGCCCACCTGCCCCTCCTGTAGGAGCTGGTCAATGAGCTGGTCTTTGTGTACCTTCCGACTGACAATGAGGAACCGCTGCCACCCTTGTCCGTACGACTTGCTCCGCAGGCCGTATTTCTGAGCGATCTGATGAACCTGCTTGCGCTCGTCGTTGTTGAGGTCGGTGGCGAACCGGAGGTCGTCCTGGCGGTCTGAGCTGGCATAGTTCCGGATGATGTTCTCGATGTCGCGCTTGCTGAGCTGATTTCCCGATTTCAACGTGTCCATGCCCAAACCCTCTCTGGAGAACTGCTCCTTCACCTTGATGGGCTCGGAGATGCCGTCCCCGTCCCGGCCCAGGCCGCCTCCTTTCCAGCCCATCTTCCGGAGGAGCTGGTTTCCGATGTTGTCCTCCTTGATCTCCATCCGGTTGGCCTCCTCGCCCGAGCGGGCCAGAATCTGGGAGCGGGATATGGCGTCGCAGTGCCCGTCCTTCCTCAGATTGGACTTCACAACGGCCTGCGTCTGTCTGAGCGTGGCCAAAGCCTCCTTGGCTGCAATGTGCTTGACTATTTTCTTTGGGCCGACCCCTGCTGCGACGTACTGACCTTCCAGGTAGACCTCGCACCTCCAGCGATGGTCGGGCTGAACGGAGAACTTGTAGTCGGCGGTCACCTTGTTAAACTGCGCCGTGTCGTTGATGATGCAGATGGCGTTGTCGGAGTTCTCCAGGATCACCAGCTCGCTCAGATGCTTCTTTCTCCCGGCCGGCAGCCCGAAACTTCTGCTGGACTCACACTGGGCGTTTCCTCTGAAGCTCCTGTGCGGTTGCGGTGTTGGTGGCGGCGGCTGCTGCTGCCGCCGGGCCTGGTTCATGCGGAGCTTTCTCACCGCCTCCTCCGCCGCCGCGTGTTTGGAGCTCTTCTTGGAGCCCGAAGCCTGCGCCACCAGCTCGTCCTGCAGGTAAACGCTGCACAGCCAGGAGCTGTTGTTGGGCTGGGGGTCGAACTTATAGTCTACCTTCATGCGGTTGAAGGCGGCCGAGTTGTTCAGGATGCAGATGGCGTCGTGAGCGTTGTCCATGACCACGAACTCGGTCCAGTGCTTGTGCCTGTCCGGCTCGTACTGGCCCTTCGAGCTGGGCGTCGGCTTGTCTTCCGGGTTTCGGAGGGCGGGCAGGAAGGCCGGTGTTGGGCTGTGCATCTGGCACACGACCATGTCGTGGACCATGGTGTGCCGGTATTTACGCTGCACCACGCGGACCTCCACCTGCTTGAGGAAGAGTTTCACCGCCTGCTCGGAGGCCCGGTCCCTCGCGCCGTTTTTGCTGCCGGAGTACCCGGTGGCCAGATACACACTCTGACACCTCAGCTCGCAGGCGTAGCCGTCTGCGGGGATCTTCCTGTTCTTTGGCAGGTCGGCCTGAGGGATGTCCTTCAGGTTGACATAAATATACTCGGGGTTGGTTTTGCAGGCCTGGATGCTGCGGCTCAACATGAAATTGTAGTTTGGAGAGTCACTTCCCGTCATCAACACGGGGTCCCTGAAGTTAACAGCCAGGGCGTTGGAAACGCTGGTTATCAGCATTTGCTTCTCATCTAACGTCGACTGAGATATCGGAACCGGCTGCGAGGACCCCGACTGAGACCCCTTTGGGCTGTTCCTGCCTGGACTGTGGTAGACTCTGCTGAACGGCCGGCTTGATGACGGCCTGTCCTGATGACCGTACCCATAACCCTGACGTCCCGAATCCCTGCCCGAGGACCTGCTCCCAGACCCGTATCCATTATATCTCTGGGACTGACTATACGAGTCTGAAGTGTGCGAGGTGCTGTGGGCTTCGTACTTGGACGAGTAGTTCTGCTGCGTTTTCTCCATAAAGTTGGAGGCTGACCCACGGTCCCCGTGCCCTAGTCCACTGGTGCTACCCGAAGAAATCTCTCTGTCTCTGTGAGATCCCCAGGAGTCAAATGTGTGTGACGGCACTCTGTCAAAAGGAGGCCTAAGGGAGGAGAAGCCCTGCGCTTTGCTGCTGGTGCCGTAGGAGGAGTGCTGGGAATCCCATTTCCCCGCTCCATATGACTCAGTCCTTCTGCGCTCTTTGTCGTTCTCCTTCTCATCAGTGGAAGTTCCTCCGCAGCTTCCGCCACTGACAAAGTGCACAGGCTCAAATCGCGGTCTGGAACCATATTTTGTCAAAGGCATTTTCCTCATGGGCTCGTCTCCTGCAATATCATAACCTTATATTAGAAAACAAATCAACGGCTTCAACTTCGGGGGGTGGGGGCCGGAATATGAGAGTGATGCCTGCACTGAGCAATTGGAAAATAGGCCAATATTCTATTATTACTTTAGGACAGTTTGTTAAAAACTAGATGTCATGAATGAATTCATTTCTACAAAACAAACAAACATTCTGGCAACTTCTCAGCCGATAGCAAAACATAATTTAAATGTTACGTTACCTGCTTATTCATTTAACTTATGTTGTCTAAGAGTATTGTTGTCAATATATTAGATAATTCATGATACAACCCCCCCCCCCCCCCAAAAAAAAAAAACACACAAACACAAGGCACACAACCTAGATCACTCACTGCCATCAGATGAAGAAGTTCTCTTTAGTGCTTCAGAGCTTGGACTTGGATCAAAGGAGGGCATTTCGCAAGTGTCAGTCCCTTCTGCCATCACCAGCTACGTCCAAATCAAATCCAGGCCATACCTGTTAGCCAAAGACCAGCGGAAGAGGTATTAAGACACTGATCAAAGGGGTTCATGTCGCATGCCGCCACCACCTGCCAGCAGCAAACGGGACTAACATTTTTTCTAAAAAGTATGTACCTGAAAAAACGAAGTCATACACGGAGACAATTTTCTATGGAATCATGTGAAACAGTCGGAAAGAACGTCTGCTTTTCGGACCATGCGTGACGCAGTAGTCCGACACAGCTCACCGTTCAGAAGTGAGCACGTTTAACAAGCTCAACGGTCCAAATATCCTTTTAAAGTCAAAACAAAAAAGTGGTATTCTTACCTTAAGGTGCAGCCTTTGGTCTGATTCGCCTCTATGTCATTTAACTGAACGGGTGACTAAGCACTTTAAGTTCAACTTTCTTATTTATTATGCTAGCCTCTTTTAGCCATCCACCGTTGACAACCGTGTCTAGCACTAGCCACCTAGCTTGCTATATAGCTAGCCGAGATCCACTTCAATAGAGAAACCTTCTGAGTTTACGAACCCGCAAGATTCATGAACTTTGAAGAAACTGGTATGCTGGTCTGTATTTCCTTGAGCTATTTGAGACAGGTAGACGAAAACGCTGCGCCATCAACACACACACAGTGAGCTATCAGGAAGCATCCATTTTCTTTCCAGGTTCAGCAAAATCATGGCGTCCGATACCGCATTGACCCAGAATGCTTTGCGAAGGTCAGGCTGCTGTCAAAGCACACGCTTTATTACCGTAACTTTGAATTAGTTTAAATTCGTTTTTTTCCAAAATTGAATATGTTTAAACAAATATTGAAGTAAAAATAATTATTGATTGATTTTTTCAAATGGATGGCTTTATTTTTGCCTATTTTAATTTGACCATGACATAGAGAACAGAACCCAGAAAGGTGAAGTTTAAGGATATTATTTTTGCTATCTGAATGTAGTTCTGTGCAAGTTCCAGGTTTGTTTATGTGGTGCAAAATGAACACTTCAGACATTTTCCAGGCGTGGCTGTATACCTGAAACAGCAGAATCAAATAAAGAGTTGAAAACCATTCGGCAGAATATTACCATTATACAGTCTTATAGATATATTGCAGTGTAATAAAAAATCTTTATATGTTAAGTTAATTCTTTCTGTTGTTTATGTTGGTTTTAGGGTGGGAATAACCTTGTATCACAAATTTCCTCAAAAGGCCTCAAAATATAATCTTATATGGGTTTAATCTGTAATATTATATTTTTGTGCCATGGAGATAAAGAAAAGCTCTGCAGCGCTTTCAACAAAGTTAAAATTTTAATGAACCTTTTATGTCTAAAAAAGCAAATTTACTCTGAAACTGTGGCTACAAATCAAATCTAAAGACATTTATCAGATAGCATTACTTCAAAATACATAAACCAAATCATCTGAACAGAAAGATTTCCCACACATGAAATAAACAGCACCAATGTAATAAAAAGATAGGATTAGTTGGTAGATAACTGCAGAATGAAGACAAAGGCTTAATTGGTCTGTGTCGTATTTCTTTTTATTCAAAATGTACATCAATGGAATCAAACTAAAGCAAGATACCGAAGAATTATGAAGAGTGGGAGAGGTTTTGACTACAAGAGGTGATGACTGATACTAGAAAAATGTATGGCAAACCATGACAACAAAATGTCACCTTACACTTACACCTTACACTCAAAAGTCATAAGTAATAAACAACAAATCTCCACTTCAATACACAAAATATATCCTTATAAATTATATAAATGCAAGAGTATTTTTAATACTCTTATCTGGGATTCAATTCAACTCCATCTTATTTTAACATTTGGCAAAATTGGAGTTTGAGATCAAAGGACAGAGCAAATATACATGAATCATATTTACCATTTTGAAGAAAACAGCAATGAAAGGGGATGGGTCGCAAAACTGAGTTATTATAGGAAGCAAAAAAAGCAGGTCAAAGATCACAGCAGAAATGAAAATGAATTCAAATTTAAAAAAAAGATGCATGCAACATATCATATCGAGTAAGATGGTGAACGTTAAAGCACAACGTGTAATAAAAGGCCATGACATGTGACCTCCATGGTATTCAACGGCAACATGTAAACATGGGAACCATAAAGACTGCTTTGGCTTTTTATACCAGTGTGAGTATGACTTTGACTTTGTTTTTGATGTTTAAAAACTTTGAAATCAGATTTTTATTTGGAAAAAGAACAAACGTTTTAGCTCATTTCACTGTACTTCATGATATGGTGCAAAAAGTGCTTCTGTCCTCAATGTCTCAAACAGTTAATCCTGATTTTCTTTTTTTAACTTTATTCTAACGTGATCTTTTTATTCACAATCCTTAAAATAACGAGTGCATAGTGCAGGCCGCCTCCAGTTAATTTCAAATAAAGATCAAATGATAATTTCACCCGTAAATCCTGTGTGTACGTGAACCCCTCTTGAAAATTTTTTATTTCCTACAAGATTCTATGTACATTAAGACACGATAGCAGATTAAAACTGTGCCTGGTTCCCGACCTGCCTGGGTTAAGAGCTCCATTAAGAGGGGGTGGGGTCAGAAATACCATGCAAGTTCACATAAGGCCATTTTCAACAAAAGGAGATGCCATGAGGAGAATAAAAAGGATGAAACAGCCAGAAAAAACTGGGAGAGGTAAAGGGTGCTTAATTTCTTGCTGAAGCTGCAATCCCCTCTTCAGGTGGTCAAGACAGATTAAAAGAAGCTAAAGAGACAAAGAGAAACACAGCCAGCCATTAGAGAGGGCAAACACTCGCAAAGAGAGGATCATTAGTGAATCTGAGGGAGAGAAAAGCTTTGGCTTTTAAATTTCATATATGAAGACATAGTGATACAGTGTCACATTAAAGATAAAACATGAAAACACATTGTGCCCAATATAAAACTCCTGCACAGCAACTGAAATCTCGTGGTAAAATTCCACATCGTCGTCTCATCTACGGTTGAGTTATTGACACAAAAATGAGTATAAAATAAATAGCCATCCATAATAACAAATCAGCACATGCTCCTTCCATCTCCACCACGACTGAAGTAGGAAAAATGTTAGTCAGAGCAAAAAGCAAATGGAGATTTGGATCGGTCAAGTGGAAGTTAGAGCAGCAGTGAAGCCCACACACTGACCCATTATCACAGCAGAGCAGGTCATTATTGAAACGCCCTGAAGGACGGGGGTCCGCAAAGCCTCTGGTCACATTTGAGGTACTCAGTAGCCACAAAGGCCTGCTCTCTCTGAAAAGCTTGAGGGCTGAGGACCTACTCAGTGCAGAGCCAGGGATTACTGCAAAGGAAAGTGAAACCACACAGACCAGTGAGCTGAGGGTCGGGAGGAGGGAAGTGCCTCTTTGACTGCTGTATTTTGACCCAAGTATTAAGTTATTTCAGTCAAAAATGAAGAGGCCAATGTCACTTTAAAATGTCGAAAAAATAACCGCACACATCACTGAGGGCAGCAGAAGCCAGATGTTTTTCAGTATCTGGACATTACCTCAGTCGTTTGCACAAGTCTGCTCTAAAAATCCAGATGAGAGCTGACTAAAGTATTATGAGATTCACAGAAAATCGAGTTTTTGGTGAGTTTAGCTTTAGTTTTACAGCGATGTTCTGGGTACACAAAGATCATGGCCACAGCTGCGATGTTTGGTGAAAAAAAGTCGGCCTTTATTTTATTTAGAGGATTTCCTTTCATGCGTAACACTGATACAAACAACACTGGTCCCTGCAGAACAAAGGACACATTTTTGGTTTGGCTTTTAAATGTGCCCTCGTGCTAAGTATAAAAAACAGAAAGTTACAATTGCACTGACAACATCAATATATACTTAGAAAAAAAAACATCACATTTGGGTACAAAACAAAGTGCAAATGTGAAAGCTAAGACAAGTTTACTCAAAACACAAGATTATGAATGAAGTATGGGAGAAGTGGCAAAGAGATTAGGCTCACATCGACTCATGCATCGGGCCAAAGAGAAACGAAAGGGACTTCTGGTGACTCAACTATTCACTTTTTAAGAAAAGAAATAACATATTTGAACAGCTGAGACAATAACGGAAAGATTTCTTATTCACTAAAAAATAATAATGAGGGTTTCACAATAAATGAGGTGTTTACAAGCCAAGTTATTGTTGGTATTGTCATCTAGCTGAGTGTATCTACCATAATGTCACATTAAAAATATTATTTGACCCAATAAGCCTTCTTTTATCCCATATTCCTTTTTTCTTTCTGTCCTTCATTACCCTTGTTTTTTCTGTGTTCTGTCTAAGTCCGTCCCTGTGATGCGTGTTTCTCTTCGGCCCCAACTCATTGCGGCTCATCACACAAGTAGTCACGTCGGTTAATATTCACGAAAAAGCTCACATCATGCAAAGAATTACATAGTATCAAATTTATTTTGTAAAAAACATGGAATGTTTTGTAAATTTGCATAATAAAAGGGACACAAGCTGAATGATCGCTTGCACAATTAATAATTCCAACAAGCATCATTCAGATTTTAAAAGTGATATCGAACAGAGCGATTGCGGAGCATCTTCCACAGAGCAGGAGGGAAGGGGATGTTTAGGGTGGAATTATGGGATTTGGGTGCAGGTGAGGGTGAGGAAGGGGTACTGTAAAGGATGATGGGGATGGAAACTCATTCACAGCAGGATGGTCACAAGGGAGCACTTTTTCTACAGGAATCCTTAGCTGGAAATGAGAGAGAAGGGCTGTTATTGCTTTCTGTTTCCGTTCAACCATCACGACACACAGTAATTACATCAGGGACAGCTCAACATTAGAGGGCTTTTAGAGCAAGGCATGCTTTTGAGGTGAGTCGAAAAAGGTCTGAGTGTGCATGTGTGCAGGAGGAAAGTAAAGCCATCTCCATCCTATACAAGGTTTTATTCTAAACTTTTAACTATTTGTCTGACGCTCTACCCTCCAAACATCATCTTTAGCTGTTCTGACAGCACCGTGATGCTTGAGGAGTCTGCAGGACAGATGTTTTCTTTGCCTTCAGCTCTTCTCAGTGGCTGAAACTCAAACACTCTTTATGCATTTGGGTTTTGTATCCATCCAACAGGAAGGGGAGGGGGGTCATCATATGTTTCAGAGACCAACAAAACATTTAGTCTCTATAAGCCTGAGATGTGTCCCGAGGCTGTCTGCTGCTCTGGTGTGACCTGCTGGTCTCTGCTCAGTCTTGAATAGCTCTTTGTGTGTACGGCTGGGGGGGGGGGGGAGACTTAGGCAGAAAGACTAGTGTGCTTTTACGAACGCAGATGGAGCAGCACATCAAATGGCTGAGTATGGATCTAGTAATCCGGTTGATTTAGGAGCTGGCAGGGCGACACTGCCAGCTCAAGAAATATGATGGACATGATGTTACCATAAAGTTCTGCCAGCACACAACCGTCTGCTTTTTATCGAATTTGCACATGGTTAAAAGTAAACAAGAAAATGAAATACGTGAAATTTTGATTATTTCTTGTCAGTGATTGTGATCATTTTTATACCCGAGTCTGATCCAGTGTGGGAATTCTTACCAGAAAAGGTGCCTCATGCAGCATGCAGCAAGTGTGGGAGGAGTTAACTGGAAAACATCATGGATGCAACACAGGTGAGGCATGCACCCACAACACACACCAAAACAACGAGCATGAACAAAGAACTCTCTCCTGGGTCAATCACTGGAGGGTTAAATACAGATCAAAACAACTCGATGGGTCGGTTTCAATCAGTGACCCACACACGGAGCTCAACCTGCACCTTTTCAAAGAGAATTATTGAAGGCAAAGGTCATAAAGGGAAGAAGTGGCTGTGAAGGGAATAAAATGAAAGAAGGCTACAGGGAACTTCTCAGTGCAAGTGTTCGCTTTCTTTCTAACAGAAACACCAGTTAAAACACACAACCAGGAGTTAATTTATAGCATGAAGAACCAGTAGGACCAACAGCCTGTGGGTGAGATAAGCTGTCTTATATCTCCTGAGAAAACGAAACTACTGTGTTAGGAACTTCTGCCGGGAAACTGAAAAAGGGAGGGTGTAGCAGGAGGCTGCTGTTAGACTGACGGCTGAGAGGAGCTGCGGGCTTCCCACGGCTGAAATAATGACTTACTGCTCAGGTGAAAGCATTTGCAACAAGCTTGTAAGAAGCCTGAGTAGAGTGACCAGCGGCAGGATGATTTTTGACTGTAAGTCACAAACCGAACTGCTTTTGGCTACATCCCAACTATTTAGATGAGGACGGTTTGTCAGCTCCCATCATTACCCCCTCCTCTCAGCTCCTCTTACTTTTCCACATTGGTAATGGGTTTGGAATTTTGGTCAGCTCTTTGGAAGATTCCTTCCAACTATAAACTGCTATTATGCAGAGGCTAAGCTGCTGTACTCATCTGCCTCTCAGAAGTAAAGAGAGGTCTGCCAGAGTAAAGGTTTTCCAAAGCCATTTTATAAGCATCACATCATACAAATCTGGTGGATTATTACTGAGTGGAGACAGCTGGCTGAGATATTGAGAAAAAAAATAAGCAATCGAGTCTACCAATCGCACTACCTCCATCCCCATGGCTCAGAAAGACCTAGCTTTCAGAGTTGTCAAACACCCAAATTTGATCTCCTGCACCTGTAGTGTGAGGCTAAAAAGTCAAAGGGATGAGAACAATACTTACTTTTTCCTCTCTTTGTCTCTCTTGAGTGTGGTGGAGCCCCCTGCCTGCTGGGCTTGGTTATGCAAAAGCTCTGCGGCAGTCTTTTTCTGTTTGAATGTGTTGAGCTCATCGTCCAGCGTCTTCTTCTTGTCCTCCAGTTTCTTCTTCTCGTCCTGGTGGAGCTTCTTCAAACGGTCAAACTTCTCGTGCAGCTAAAAGAAACAGCGCTTGCTTTTCACACAGTCTCCAGCAGAAAGCCTCTATGAAAAGGCTGATGTTAACTAGCATCTGATGTTTACCTCCTTCTCAGCTTCTTTGAGCTCAGCTTCTTTCTCTTTGACTCTTTGGACAAACATTTGCCTCATTTCCTCTTCCTTTTTCTGCAGTTCTCCCATGAACTCGTTCCGCTTTGCCTCGTATGTCTCCTGAAGGCTGGAGCAATTTGAATACAGAACAGATGAAAGAAGTTGAGAACGACTAAGTAGCAAGAAATGACAGATTCAGGAGGAAAACGCTGCCCTGAGGCTCATACCTAAAGGGCTTGCTGTCAGGGTCGGTGTCCTTAAACCCCATCTCCTCAAGTTTACAACGGCGGTAGAGCTCATAGTGCCGTGTGTGGGTCTGTTCTCGCAGGTCCTCCATATTCACTCTGATGAGCATTTCTCGGAGTTTGACGAAATCACAGTGATTCTCATTTTCAACTGTGAGAGAAACATGTAAAAGTGACGCTCGCATGCTTTAAAATACACAACTGACAGCTTTAAATAAATTACAGTAAGTGTAATGGAAAAAAGACTAACATGCTGAATGTTTGCAGAAACACTGAACCTGAAATCAGACTGGTTCCCATAAATACAGAGTTCATGTCCTGTGGTCTCAGAACACTGATATTTATCGCAGTGCGGCTGTAATCCAGCAAACTGAATTTCAAATAAAATCCTAAAAGTGCTGATAATGCTCATAATGGATCAAATTGACTTTATGTGTTCAGAAACCATTGAGTGATTGGGAAATTTAAAAAAACAAGTAGAGAAAATAAAATAACTGCAGATAAGTTCAATTAAACATAATCAGCTATACGAGTGGGTGGGTTTCACACTGAGCAGGTCCAGTTAATGTAAAACAATATTTAGTAACTCAGACCGACTCAAAGGGATGTTCAGATGGAGAAATCTCCACCCAAACTCAGCTTTTAGGCAAAATCTAAATTATTTATGAAATATTGTTGTTGGTGGATAGAGACAAAAAATTATTTGAGAACATCAAAGTCAACAATTTGAGTGGTGTAAGGATAACTTTTAACAAAATGTTAAAAAATAAAAAAAGCTCCACAATGATGCTTCCCAGAGCAGGAAATCCGTCCCAAACTGATGCAAACACAAGGAAAACGCTGCACAGGGAGACTAAGAGCCACTTTAAAGGAGGAGCAGGACTTCCTGTTAAGTAGTGCTGGCTCAGCACACATAAAAACAATCTCTTGTATTCTTTGTGTGTGTGACCTATGGGGCGGGGGAGCTATTTCTCAGGAAAACATTTTGCCTGGGACAATTTAGTAAAAAGACAATCCTAGTCACATGGAAACTCTATTAGTGCTTTTAGTATTTCCTCTCTATTGATATATTTTCTCTCCTTTGTGTTGATGGTAAGTTGATAATTAATGTGGAAGAAGTTTCCACATGAGCTGGAGGAAACCTAAATATGCATCTGCACACATGAAAATACCATAATGTTTGAAAACAAATTAGATTAGCTACAAATATGCCACACATCTGATAACCCCATGAACAAAGTATTGATAGTGCAGTCTATTTTCAATACATTAAACACCCTCTGTTATAGATTTGTTTAAAAAAATCAATAAGAGATCAATTGAAAACCCATTAGTGACATAAAAATTTGTTATACACACACAGCTGCTGCTCCTCTGATATACAGGATAATGATGGAGATCATCCTGGAGCAAAATCAGGTTATATAACCTGGTTAAAGCTAGTTTACCACAGCTTTTAAAAATGAAGAGAAACAGGGAAGGAGTTGAACCAGCGGCTCTGGCAGAAAAAAAAGAAAGAAACTGTGCTCCTATTTCCTGTGTAGGATGTAACCCGGGCTTACCCTGTACTGTCCCCCAGGGGTACTGCCGGGCCTTCACCATCTTATTCCCAATCTTAACTTCCTCTGTGCTCCCAACCACGGCAAAGGGCAGATGGCTCTGTGAAGCAGAGGGGGAAAGTAAATAAAAGGTTGGAATGGCTGAACAATAACAGCACAGAGCTAACAGTGTGACACAGCCAGCTCGAAAAAGTGAGGGGGATTTCTCTGACTGGGGTTAATAAACAACGTAGCGATCTTTGACTCTTGTGTCGAACAGGCTGGTTCCCACACAGCTGAGTTCCTCATCCTAAGCCGTGATACTGAACAGTGTGGGGCGGCTTCATGTCATCTGAGCAGACTTAATGATGCCAGTCCTCACTCAAATAACATGTTATGCACACATGAATGAATGACACCCTACCTCTGCTATGCTCCACGTAGCATATGGGTTGTAAATACAGCAAAGGAAACACAGTGGATATCAAATCCAGTCGAGAGCCTTACATTCATGGTGGAATTTATCTCCGCAACAGACTCATCGTCGGTAGGGAACTGGTAGATCTGGACCCCGTTGCTGACCAGCTCACTGGTGATTTTGATTTTGAACTTCGCCAGCTCACTCTTGGAAATGGCGTCTGACTTAGCGACGATCGGTATGATGTTGACCTGCAGTCGAGAAATGAGGCTAGACTTAATGCAAGATCAGAAAATTTCAAGGTGGAGACAAGCGTATCAGAAAAACAGCTAAATATAGAGCCACTTCCAGCTCAGTTTCAAAGGCTTCGGCTACAGTCCAAATTTAGGGAAGAGCTGTGGTACCTTTAAAAAGGAACTAAAAGATTAGAAACATAACAAATGAAAAAGATCTGAGGCAATGGATCAAATCGAATAATACCTAAGTTTAGTAACATATTATAATGGAACTTTTTCTTTGTTAACTCTTCCACTCACAGGCTGCCATAGACTGTTGCAATTAAAAAGACACATTTCAAAAGGAAATAGTATAAAACCACCTTCTCTGTCTTCAGCGTATGAACACAACACAGTACATCCTTTTTAAGTTGAGGCGACAGGAAGCTGTTTACTGCACATTTTTGAGTAATTGGAGACAAACAGCCAAATGCTAAGAGAGCAGTAGGTTTCCATCTTATTCTCCACATGTCTTCAAAGTTTAGTCAAATTGTGCCATTCAACTTTCTGCTATCATAATTATCCAAACAAAAAATAAAGTGTGGAGTTAGAAAGTGAAAAAACAAGACCAAGAGGGGTCACTGTAGTTTGCACTTAAATCTAGCGTCTAAATCGAGCGGAAAAATGAGAATTTCACTCCCACACAGCTCAAAACTATTTGTCCTCTGGATGTAGGCTGTGAAATCAAAGTGATGCATTCTTTAGGTCATGTGAACAAAAATAACTCAATGCATCTATAAGTCTGGTGAGGACTGTGGGCCTTGCACAAGGGCCCACCAGCAGAGCATGGTTTGAATGCTGAATGTCGAAACAGAGGAGGCTCTGCTCTGGATCACACTGCTGTGAGTCCTGGCTGGAGGACACAGCTGCTCTGGCAAACATTAAGCAGGCTCTTTGTACAAAAGCAAGGAGGTCCATGTAAATAAGCTGGAGGGGAAAGGAGGCAGCAGTCTCCGAGCAGACAGCGTTTCACAGATGACCTTCGCCGACGCAGAGACAAGAACCGAGCCAACCTCAATTAAGGCAAATGGCCCAGAAAAGATTTATGACCCATGACTTGAGTTGAGAGAGGAAATGCTACCAACTGTCCCGCCAAAAGATTCACAAGCATAACACAAGTCTATGTCTTAACAGCTACAACTGCTGATAAACGAGGGACAAATGAAGAGAAGAGAAGCTGACCTTGCTATCAAGCTTCTTCATGGTCACCAGGTCCAGGGATTTGAGCGAGTGTCCTGTTGGAGCGATGAAGTACAGACAAGCATGGATGCGGGTGTCATGGTAGCTGTGTAGCGTGCGCTTGATCTTCAACTCCTCCTGTAGATATGCTTCAAACTGGGCATCAATGAACTCCACGATGGATTTGTAACTGGAAAAAAGGAGGCACAGGGAAATAAGGTCGGCATTTCCTTCTTTTGTTGGTCCCTTTAACAAACACAATATGGATTCTTTGAGTCATTCAGCGCAATTGGAAACAATTTCTCACACTTATTATTAAGATGGCTGCACGTTTGATGATTCAGTTTCGTGACATGACCCACACACTGCACACTGACAATTCACTATTTGTTAACTCAAGTGATATTAAAAATAAACTACTAAAAAAATAACACCTCCTGGGGCAACTGTGCTCAGCTGAGCATGTGATAAATATGCTTAAGAAAAAAAAAGAAAAAAAAACAAGAGCTAGGTATCAATATTCTTTTTTTTTTTTTTTTTTTTAATAACAGTAAACATGCAATATGATCAATCACAATGCATTTACGTATTTGCCATTTTTAGCTAACATCCAGTAAAACATTGTTCACTTTCAACCAAATAAGATGTCAAAATCTATTATCATTGTTTGTGTGTCTGGGTGAGATTTTAGGACCCCAGTCCATGGCCGAAAATAATATAATATAAATAAGTCACGCAATCACCATCTGCAAACCCGGATGAGGGGTGTGGGGAGTGACTCTGGCCTCGTGTTTTGTGGTCATGCTTTAGAGTTTTTACCCCTACAGCAGGTTAAAAGACCAAGTGTTTTCTGTGTTATGCATGTCTGGTTTTCACTCTTCAAACTGCAGAGAAGTGAAGGCAGTGTTCCCTTTACAGGGTTAGAGTTCGCATTAGATCATCAAAAGCAATGTTAGCAATTACCATTTGGAGTCTGAGCCCACCAACAAAACTATGTGGGCGGATACAGCTTCTACAGTTCCTGACGGACCTTGGGGCTGTGATATCCCTCTGACACCCAGCTGGAAATCACCTATATCTGATTTTGTGTTGAAAACCGGTAGTACGAAACGGCTGAGAAAACTTGAGAAGTAGATTTGATTCCTTGTTCTCATGAATAAAAATGAAGGCTGAGCTATACCTGAGAGGCAAAAAGGCTTTGAGCGCTCGCAGAGTTATTGTACTTGCTGGAATGGAGGGTGGATTTGTAATGACAAGTTTAAAGATTGCTATCAAAGACTTGGTTACAGAGGAGGAAGCTGCCAGCTGGGGTCAGATGGGACAGCTCGACGGACCCTTACCTGTCTTCTTTGTTAATCTGGTCTCCGAAACCCACCGTGTTGACCACGGTCAGTTTGAGGCGCACATTACTCTCCTGGAGCTCATAGGTGTTGGACTTAAGCGTCACTCCTGGCTGGTTGTGCTGGGTGGGCTCACCCTCAAACTTGGTGTTGAACAATGTGTCCATCAGAGTGGACTTGCCAAGTCCCGTTTCACCTGCAAACACACGTAAAATTTGAGTTCAACTAAATGTAGCCCAAGTCTCTAAATATCCAGGTGTATGCATACAAAAAAAGATGAGCGAAAAAGACTTCAGGATTCTTTTGCTAATGTGAAACGGAAACACCTCCTGTGCCAGCCACACAGTGGCATTTACAGCTGCCCGCTAGGGTTGTGATCAGCCTTTCACATCATCTTTACCTCCATGCTTTGAATGGACAGCCTTAATGGGTACAGTTTGGATGTTCTGGATGTGCGTCCCAGAGTTTACTCTCACCCCATAAAGGCCGGGATACATGTCAGCTGGGTATATTTGACGGATGGACAGACGCTTTAACGTTTACTTAAGGAGAAATAAGGACTCCAAAAATTGTACTGGTGGTCAACTCTTCCATGAGGCCATAATGGAAATACAACTAGACAGAGAGAATGAAATAATTCATTTAGAAAATAAATGTCCAAAAGCTTCCAAACTGTGGCAGGCCAGTGTAACACCAACACCGAAATGTAAAATGGCTAGATTTCCTGAAAATGAAAAGTAGCATTTTTTTTTGTATTCTAAAAAAACTATACAACACCGAAGCAACAATGACTGATTAGAGGCATCTGATCTGCAAAAACATAAGTAGAAATATGAAATTTACCAGATTGAATTGAATTAAGATTACAGCAAGATAATCTTATGCTTTTCAGAATATTTGAACTCTTTTATTTTATTTTATTGTTTCTGTAGAGCTGCTTAGCAGTGCACATCAAGTTGAAGGCTTTATGCTGGAGGAAGTATACTGTACTTCCCATGGTTTATTATTTTACACATTTCATCTATTGTTGTCACCAGTGGGACAGAAAGGAAGAGGCTGTGAGGGGGGATGGTTGCACATGAGCTGTGAACTATGGTTCATGTAAGTTTACCTACTGTGTGTATGTGGGAAAACATGTCCATTACTCGAGAAATGCTTATGTCATTCACCTAATTCATCTGGTTAACCGGAGACAAACTCATAAGGCCTCTCTGACTTGGGATGTGTATCAGAAATAATGTCAAACTAAAATCTCACATGACCACCTGTAGATACCTCCTAACTCCCCACAACAGCTGACAGAATCAAACTCAACCAAACTGAAAAAGGCAGAGGTACATTTGAGCAAATGAAATAAATGAGCTGTGTGTTTCTTGTTGAAGAGCTTTATCAAATCAGCTACACTGTCTTCAGATCAGAGGATAGAGAGAGGAAATGCCTGCCGAGGCTTGTTACTCACCAACACAGAGGATGTTGAAGCAGAAACCATGGTTGACAGACTTGTTGACCAGCTGGTCAGGCATACTGTCAAAGCCAACATGTCCTGAGAGAGGCACAGCACGAGCTCCTTCACCCTAAAATGTAAAGTAATAAGTCAATTAAAGGCCTCCTAATCACTTTACATTGCATGATTTGAAAGGTGTACATACGTAATAAGTAATCACGGACCTATAAAGAAGCAATGATGTTTCTATTTTACGCTCACATTACTCCGTTTTCTCCCATATCTTATTATCTTAGCGACTAAGCTAAGTTGAATTCAGGTGCAGTCTTATTCACTTCCTGTTCTGTGAGCAGCAGCTTTCTTCCGTCAGTCGAGACAGTTAAAAACCACAGTTCAGCAACATGGACTGATGCAAATGTAAAAAAGATTCTGATGTGAGAGAAACGCTGAGAGAATTAAAGTTTAAAAAGACACATATTTTTAAATGAGTAAAAGAGACATGTTCATGATCTGCATTCAAATGTTTCTCCATAAACTTTATTTAGGCCTACTGTAATTCCATGCACGTTACTATGACAGTGTTATAGCACAGTTGTTACATTTGTGGGGGCGTTTGAGTAGGAGTGAGTGTCTCCAGTGCTCTTGGTCTCATTTCTGCAGCCTACATCCATATTATGAGCTGCAGGGAGGCAAAGAATGTATATAGTCTGCCAAAAGCAAGCGCTTTCCAACAGCTAAACCTAAAACAACCTGCAATTATGCGGCCTAACATAACGCAGTGTTGTTATCCAATGTGGCAAAGGCTTTGGGAGAAAAAATAGCCTGTCTGGGGGAGAATTCAAAATAACCTGGAAAGCTGATGGTGCTGAACACTTGTGGATTATTTGGATGGTTTGAAAGTGGGTTTAAACAGCTGAGGGAGTGTTTGGAAAACCGAGGGTAATATAGCTGGACAAACAGCCGACTTATTCTACTACAGCAAGTGCAAAATTCCTGAAATCTTCCCGGCTTTTTATGTCACATAGCACACCGCCTGTTTAATTCATTTGGCCACAAAGGGATATCAAACTGCACAACCTTGCTATTCCAAGCACTCCCTCTGGGTTAAGTGGCTTCTTTTTTCCTCTTGAAAAAGCCCGGTTAACACACGCTTGTATTTTTAGATCCATGCCTATGCATCCATATCTGTAACCAGTTCGATTATCCTTTCCCCACATTTTGTACGCAATTACGACAACGCCCGCCTTGAAGTTAACGGTACTATAGAAAAGAATAACGGAAATGAGCACCGAAGCTTTGCCGAAATGGGGGCGTTCAGAATGAATGGCCTACCTATGGGTGTATATTGTCTTGCTCTTTTAACGATCGACTACTATGTTAAATCTAAGATACTCCAGTGCTTATTACGCCATTTGTTTTACAAGATAATGTAGGTAACGACATAAGTACATGAAATCTGAAGGCGTTACAGGGAAATGAAAAATTCTGGAACATACTTGTACAAACAAAATGCTACGAAAAAAGAATAATAGGAAGTTAATCTATCATAGTCTGTTTAATACCATTATCAAGTTCACGACCATATGTATATTAGCTAAAACATATGTTTTAGCCGTGGTACATTGTATTTTGGATGGAATGGCGGTTGATAAGCACGAAAAGCGGTTGATGGCTGGCGAAGTCTAACACAAATTTCACCCTTTAATGGTGTCTTAAATGTAGTTAATGTATATCATAAATGTACCGTGAGAGTGACAAAGGCATCGCCGAATGAAACAGGCTACTTACAGCTTGTCTAGCTATCTCAGTTGACGCCATGGTACTCGCTGCTAACCGGAGGACGAACCCTCAACTGTTCTGTGATTAGCAAAGGAAGCTGCAGCGTTAACGCTACACAGAAGGCTGGCCAGTTTGGAATGTACCACGTAATTGGAGCATTTCGAGTAGGATATGCAAGTATGTACCGTCCTAAATATCGCTAAATGCTAATCAATAAAAAACCCAGATACACTTATCTTCACAATCTGTGATGAATTTTATAAATAACTGTGACTGAGCTAAAAGAATAATAATTAACCCCCCACAAGATGCCTTCATGGTTGCATCCAGTGGATATGGTAGTAAACTGCAGTCAGTGAAAAAAAATTAAAAAAACGAGGTCGATTAATTGATTGATAGCGTCAGGATTGGGGGAAGCCGTACCTCAACATTTTTTTGTATGGCTTCCTAAAATCAGGTCATAAAGCTATATATGAGATCTTTGAACAAAGTGGGACTGGCAGTAGTGTATTGTTATACAAATAACCAATGGTGCAAATAACAGATTGTTATGCGCTTAATTTGTAAAAAACACATGTCAACAGCTGAATAATGTATGTGTTTTACCTGTGAATGCAACTGTACTAAATATAATAATAAAACCATTTGGAAAACCCTTGTTTAAGTCACGTGTGACGCTTCGTCCAATAGGATCACGACAGTGAATTTAAATTGGGGTCGCGGTTGTTTGTTAGCAACAGATGTTGGTAACGATACGAAAGACTGAGACCAAGGAAATAGCAACAGCGATTGATAAATATCTCTGAAGCAACGAGCATTGAGGTTAACGGTGTAGCAAATTCGTCTCTGCAGTTTTCCAAGTAGCGCCAACTAATATCCGTAAGTTCAAAAACCTGCAGACCTGATTCAACTACCTCTAAGTAGCAGTAAGCTAGCTTTGTGGGCTGTCAGATGACTGTTTTTAAAACGATATTTGTGAAAGCCTGTACTATGAAACATTAACGTAACCATTTCTCTTATGTTAAGTGGGTTTCCCTATTGCAAAAATTACCGCCCTGAACCATTTCCATGATAAAATAGTTACTCTAACAAATCACTGAGACTACAGTAATATAAAGCTTCTTCGTTCACAGCCTTGAATCACATAGATTGTTGCAAATTGTGAAACAAACGGATTTTAAAGTGTGAATACCTTTTTTTTTACTTGACATATAACAACAGAAAGCTTTCTGAGGTATCTTTTAGGTGTGACAGATTGGAAAAACTAACGTCTGCTCATGTCTGCAGGTGGCAATGGCAAACATAATCTTTGTTGAGCAAGAAAATGCATGTCTCCATGCACCCTCCCTGAAGATAAGACAGCGGCTTCAGTCTGCTCCAGGTATGGAAATGCGAACTGTTTTTTTTTTTCTGCTGCAGAGTGAGCAGTGTGGCTTTTGCATTGATTTCTCTTACTTATAATTTTCCCACCAGAGAAACTCTTGAAATCTCCAGTGATTCCCAAAAGCATTACCACACCCCTGCCATCGGGTCGTAAGGCTTTTGGAATGGTGAACAAAAAGGTCTTGACTCCATCTGTCAACACGCAAGAGAAAAAAGTCTTGAAGCTACAGGTTTGACGCTATGCTTTGGTCAGAAAGCGTTACTCGTATTTTTAAAGTGATCTTGAGTCAGAATTTTGTACTAAAGTAATTTTTCCCATCTTAAGGAAACCAAAGTCAAGCATGCTTCTCAGACCAAATTGGAGGAATATCCAGAAATTGAGAAGTTTATCCCTTATGACCCACTTGGTAAGCGACACCTTCAGTTGGAAGAGTTTTCATACTTTGCATTTGAAGAATTGAATATATAATTGATCTAAAAACATACAATATTCAAACAGTTAGAGGAAGCGCAGAATTAAACTTGTCACATTGCTGTAACTTTGACATCGGAAATTACCAAACCAATATATATTTTTCCTCAAAGCAGCATTGTTTACTTTTTGTGGATTGATTCACTCCATTGGAGCAGAACATGCTTACAAATCTTTAACTGGAACAATGTAAATGCCTTTCATATGGGAGCAGTTTTTAAACTTTCACCTGAAAATCAAGACTTTAACAAAAAGTTTGTTTAAATTTGTTCACCATCCATAAAGTTAATGTTGCTTTTTTTCCTCAACCTGTCGCTCATCATTAATTTAAAAAACGGACTGTTCAGTATCTAATTTGAGCTTCAATATGGGCTACACACCAGTGAAATGGGATTTTTTCCAGTAACTTCTCTTTTCCTGTATTCAGAGTTTGAGCGGTACAGTATACCTGAAGACCTGATTCCTCTCAGTAGCCTGGCTCTGCCTGGATTGGCCTGTTTTTCTGGAACGTCACATCTGTGTCAGGAGGAGCTGGACACCATCGATCCCCTCCCAAACCCGTCACCTGTGAGCATGCGTACGCATTCAGGTAACGCTCTCCTGTTGGAGCAGGGTAAATGTTTACAATTAGATTCAAAACCATGGTAAAAATGGTTTAATATAATGAAACGCAACATTTTCATTATTTTCTAATGTCAACATTCTGTGACACTTGTAGCAATTGTACATTTTAAAGAATCATATTTAAATGATTAAACAAGAGGATTTATGATGGACATCCATCAGATGAAATTAACTCCTACACTCAAAACTGAAAATGGATAAAACATCTACAGTATTTACATCTAATACTTTGTAATGTAAATACTTTTTTCCCCTTCTTAAATATTCTAAACATCAAACTGCTTGTGGCCTAATCTCAGATGACTCGGGTGCACCTGAGTTATCTGGTAAACCTGCTGCTACCTGTTGTCAGTGAATTAATTTTTTTTTTTTTTTTTTTGCATATTTAGATGTAGAAGTTAGAGTAAGGCTGTTTGTTGGAAATCCAAAAACCTCAGTGTGATTGAGACAGAAGTATCCTGATTTAATTTGGTGTTTTGAAATTAGACTTGACTGCTTTTCAAGCTGGTTTACCAGAGTCTTCCGGCTCTGATCTGTGTAGGATCATTAGCAGTTCATTATATAAGGTGACTAAATCAGTGGCTGGTGTAGTGGGATGACTGTTGGGCTCTGACACATTTGGGCGGAAACAATTACACATGGCCCTCGACAGTTCAGTCTGGAAATGAGAGAAATGAGAGAGCGCTCTAAACTCCTGTATTTATTAACTCTGCTTCTCTTCTTTGCAGATTACTGTTCGGAGCTGGATGCCTTTTTTCAAACCCTAGATGAGCTGACCATCGAACTGCCTTCAGAATCTTCCTAATTTTTAATAGATATTGTTTGTTTTTTATGTTGTTGAATAAAGTTGATCACCTTATGTACAGAAAGTGTCAGGCTGATATAGAAAGGACTTTACTTCCTGCTTTTACAGTCCATCAGTGGTCACATGTGAGGGATTGCTGCTATTGGCTTTGTCTGGATTAGAATGAACTTTGTCTCGGTTCCTCCTGCAGCGGATAGTTGAATGTCTTGTCTGCTCAGATGTTGTAATGACTTGCCTCTTCCGTTTCGCAAGCGTTTCTGAAGGATTTCAATAAACGATCGGTTTTATTCGTGTCTTCGCGCTTTTGTTTCTCAAGTGACCTGCGTCGAACTCGGGACAGGTGAGTTACCGTTTCCCTCTGGTGCTGCTGAGCCACAAAACAGAGGAGGGAGACTTTCATGCGTTTAAACGCTTCTCACTGAACGCTGGCAGGGGAACGAAGGGACTCTTCATTTCTCCGAACGAACAGGAAATGAGTCCAATAGAACCGAAAGGTCCGATTAGAGTTTATTTAACAAGTCATCTTCGGGGTGTAGTGTGAATTTTGGAGAAAAAAAAAAAGGGGGAAGTGGGCTTGACGAGGAACCACAGCGGCATGCATGAGGGTGGCTCAAACTCTGCTGGATGCGGACCAGCTGTCGCCCACGGCGGCCCGGCGGCCACACAGGGCTCCCTTGTGGAGCGGCTGTCCCGGTACGGCATGCAGGTCATGCCCGGCGCGCAGCAGCGTCGCTCCCGGCTGCAGAGGCAGCCAGAGGTCCCGGACCAGCCCGCCCAGAGCCAGAGGGACGTCTGGGAGAGGGGCTCCGTCACGTCTGTCAAGCGCAGAAAACAGCTGAAGGAGTTGCTCCTGAGTATCCCCTTCAGCGGCTCGCTGCCCCCGGAGAGCCCCGGCGCGGCCCCCCAGCAGCAGGACGCGGACTGGGCTCTGTCCCCCATGGAGCACGAGTGGATGCTGGCGGCCGTGGAGGGCAGCTACGAGACCATCCTGGAGTACGTCGCCGCGGAGCCCGCTCTGATCGGCCGCAGGGACTTCGTCAGCGGCTACTCGGTCCTCCACTGGCTGGCCAAGCGGGGCCAGGACGAGACGCTGCTGCGGCTGCTGCGGCACGCGGAGAGGGGGGGCGTGCGCGTGGACGTGAACGTGCGGGGCAGCGGCGGCCTCACCCCGCTGCACCTGGCCAGCGCGCACGGCCAGTACGCGGTCGTCAAGCTGCTGGTGGGGGCCTACGGCGCGGACGTGGACGCCATGGACTACAGCGGGAGGCGGGCCTGGCAGTACCTGAGGGGGGACGCGCCCCTGGAGATGAGGGAGCTGCTGGGCACCTGGGACGAGGAGCACAACAGCGAAGGGACGCCGCAGAACTTCAAAAGGAACGTGAACAACAACTGCGCGGGGGGGCAGGGGGGGCCGGTGGACCCCGACGAGCAGGCTGAGGACCCAGAGGAGGTGAAGGCCTCCGGCCAGATGACCAGAAGCAGCAGCTGGAGATTTGGGCCGCTCAGAAAGCTGATATCCTCTTTTCAATTTCTTGGAAGTAAAACATGAGCAAGTGATGGTTTCGATATCTTAAATTGAGTCCTGGAGTCAGCACAAGTTGCTCTGAACACTGCATATGAGGCAATTGAAGCAGGAAGAGCTCTTTTTTTCTTGTAAATTGAACTTGAAGTGATACTTGGAAAACCAAAGTATTAAAATGGACTCCTCATGAACACGCCTGGCAGTATCTGACAATCATGGTTAGAAACAAGCTCAAATGAACCCCTGTAAGTGTCATCTGGCAGCAGCCCACCAGACTGGGCACATGCAGCTTCTTTGCTACTAAATTTAGCTTCTCAAATTGCTGAACTGTCTTTCAGATGTAAATAAAAATAAAGACACTCTTAAAAACCATGTTTGTTGTTGGGGTCAAACACCCCCCCTTTACTCAGAGCGGTCAGAGAACCTCTGATTATGATGTAGAAGGAACTTCAGATACAGAACACGCAGGAAAAACATCCATAAAACTGCATTTCTTGTTTGATCCCAGATCTTTTATTGTCAAACGTGAGCATACCCAGAGAATCTATACAAAACAGCTGCTGCTCCACTGACATTGCTCCCCCCCTGCCCTCAGGCCCAGCAGCTGGAGGTCCTGGTAGATGTTGGGATGGAGGGGTCCACAGACCCTCGTGTTTACAGGCCCAGCTTGGTCCTCCTCCAGTGTCTCCTCTTGGAGTTGTACCTGGAAGATGGGAAGTGAGAGAGAGTTAGCAAACTATAAGGGAAAAAGAGGCTTTTTAAAACATGCAGATAAGGAAACTCTTTTTACCTCCCAAAATATGAACCAACTCCTTAAATGGCTCAAGTTTAAAAAAATAAATTACTGAATTTTCATTGCAGCAGATGTTTTTGCTCATACAGGCCGAATGTAAATATGTACTCAAGTCTGACAGCACTCTTGTGACCACGCTGGTAAAATGTTAGCCAAGTTTCATGGAGACTATTTGAATTCCTCAGTGATGGGTCAAGGATATTTATACGATCTCTACTCTGAAGACAATCGTTTTGCCGAAATCAAATTTATGAAGCATTTCCTGTTTTCAAGTGATGAGAAACTCAACTCGTCCAGCAACTTCCACACTTTTGGAAGGCGTGTTCCTCTAATTTCCAGAACAGAAACTGAACAAGTTGCGGCTTTAAACGACCTCTAGTTACCCCGTCAGGTGTTCGGCCCCAGAGCCTTCCCATGCCAGCACGGCCAGCTGGAGTGGGAGCTCTGACGCGGACTTGCTCTCAGCAGGGTTAATGACAGCACTCTACTGACCAGGAGTGCAGCAATTGCAGACCTGCTTTACCGTTCCTACACGCATGAGTCAGCCCGGTGTCTCGGCACTTAGTGACAACGTCAGCGCCTAAGCGGGGCGAAGCAGAGCCGTACGGCTCTCACCGGCTTACTGCGCCGACAGGGCACGCGTCAGGCGGATAACACAAGCCTCTAGAGTCCTTTGCTACAGTTAAAAACATAAAATGGTGCCACAACTATACTTATGTCCCAACACTGGACAGTGTAGGTCAAGATTATGTCTGTCAGCACTTTACAGATGTTTTTAAAAAAATCCTTTTGCCATGCATTTATAATAAACATGGCTTTTTTGAGGGGGGTACTTTTACTATACAATAGGATATCCAACTATGGAAACATGAGTATTGTTAGGTCTTTGTGGAGGATAAATTGTAAAGATATAAGTTGATGCTACTGTTTCAACTGGAGATACCTCTGAATTCACATTAAACTTTAAAAGAACACAAGTCTTAATGGACCTCATTTTTTGCAGTGCCTCTCTCAGAATGTTAGCAGCTCCTGAGATAATAGCAGCATTAAAGATCAGATCAATGTGTGAGTGGGAGACACTTAGAGGCTGGTGTCCTACAGATAAACAAACACTGTTATTCGTTAGTCCAGCAGGAGACTGACTTTCTGAACCGTTTCAGGAATACGCCTGAGTAAGGAGATTTTTTTATAGAAAAAGGAAATCCTTTAAGAAACAAAGAGATGTTGAAAGGTGTGCAGAGCGGTCCCCTGCAGGCTCAGTCCACCTGAACTCACCTGATCTTGTTACCGGTTTTCATTCTGATCCACTGCGGGATCGGCCTGTTCTGCTTTTGCTTCTTGGCGAGGAAGCGCTTTATCCTGAAAGTCTTGTGGGACGACTGAAAAAAAAAAAAACAAATGAAATAGTCAACACTGTATCCACCACTTCTTTGTTACCAGAAGCGTTACGTCCAGACAACTATATTCTGGAAATGCTCAACGTAGTTAAAGTAAACGCGGGGAAGTTGACGGCTAACGTGCTAACACATCAGAGAGAGGGTACCGGCTAGCACCTCTGAACACGTTAAATAATTTAGAATTCATAATTTCTAACAACATACTAATTGTTTTATGTATTAAAGACAAAGTCATTTAATATGTGATGCACCAGGGTGGTTTTACAGGCCGAGATGAGGTGGATGTTTAAAGATTTCGTATTTACCATTTTGTCCACAGTCCTTTCCCCACTATGGCGGTGGTCAAAGAGAAAGGAGGAAGTGACGTTCCAGGTTAAGACAACAAGCTTCCGGGAAACAACGACACCCATTGGTCAAAAAACGACAGGCAGAAACCCCACCAGCAAGATCGCTGTCGATTCTGGTCAAATTAACACCTAAATTAAAAACGCACAGTCGTTTTAACTTGCTGAAGAAAGAGGACAATAGATCATATACATCTACTATTCCAACATTAGACGTCTTTCTATTCCAAATGGAGATGTTTGAAGTTTCCCCCTTTCAACATCTCCTTTAAAGATTTCAACACGTTTTCGAAATTAAAAAAAAAAGTTTTACATATGGATATATGAACTAAACGCTTGGTAAAAAAAAAGCCACACTGGCACGAGGACACATCCTGGATATTAATTGTCCAGGCATTTTATAAATTTATCAGCAAATATAGTTGTATTATTTGAACACTAATAAGAAATATTCTAACTAATTGAAATTATGTATTAAATATGAAAATAATATTTTGATTCCGGGCAACAACACAAGCTGGACGGGTCATTGTAGTTTATTCGTTCAATAATCTGTAACACCAGGTGAAAGGTGAAACAAAGTTGTTAAACTACAGTCACCTGATTAAGTCATCCTATTCATTTTTTACTCTCTTAACAATTTAAAAAAAGACAAGAGAAAAACATGAGTGAGGATCTTTTATTTCTTGTGAAAAGCAAGTACAAGTTCTGTCAGCAGCCGTCTGTACAGAAGCTGGTCATCACAGGGAAATGTTTCAGGAGAGTCTGAGACAAGAAAATGGAGAAGGCCACGGGTGGATCACTCTGATTATCTGACTTCAGTGTCCCAAGTCTACCTGACGGAACACCGGTGACTCAGTGCTGCAGTCAAAATGGCTGTTTCTCCTGTGTGAAGTACCTGAACGGATGTAAAACATGATCCCAGACAGGGGGAGGGCAGATTGGGTTTGTGACCCTCAGCTGCTCAGGCTGATGGAGAGACTTAAAGCTAATCCGTCTCCCCATGCACAGCAGGATGTGTGCAAACTAATGAAAATAAAACAGAAACGCTCTGGGATCTGAAAGCAACATCAACTGTAGAACTGGGCCATGTTGGCATAAGAAGTGAGAAGAAAGTAAAAGAGGTTGTTTCAGAGCCGCAGCGATTTAGCTAAATGAGCTGAAAGCTAGCGCGTTGCCGTGTAAACGTCACTGATATAAGGTCACTTTGCGATCACTGGTCCCAGAAAGCTTTGGCTTTGTCTAACGTGCCCTAAAGCCAAATTCTCTCCAAAAGTTACCTTTTACCTCTCCTGACATAAAATAAACAAAAAAAAGGGTCACATTCCGGCTCTGGGAGGATCACTATGCCTCCTATTCCCCTGGGACTGGGGGAGCCGGGTGCGGGCCCTTTTCTACGCAGCTCTCAGACGTCGCGTTGCTGCTCTGAGCCCCACAGGTCTCCTGCACCCCCCTCCAGACTTAACATTAGACAGGGAGAGATCATCTCAGTCATCTCCCATCTCGGCCGCTTTTTTGCCCTCGGCGTCTTGCTTTCTGTCGGCGGAGCTGGACTCGGCTCCTCCCCCGGTGGCCCTGTTGCGGCTCCGGGCCCCTGGCTGGTAGAGCTGGATGGCCGGCCGGTCCTGAGGCGGATAGACAACCATCTCAGACACTTTTTTAAAAATTTTACACAGAAGCAGGAAACCGCGTCAGGCGCTGATGCCAAAGAATGGCTACCTTGTTCCGTAGCCGCTCCCTTTTGCTGCTCTCCTCCTTCCTGCTCTCCTCCTTCCGGCTCTCCTTCGCCGGCTTCTCTGGCCTCTCTGAATGGGGGGAGTCAGCCAAACCCTCGTTCTTCTTCCTCTCCAGGGCCTTTTCTCTTCTGAACTCCTCCTCTCGCTTTCTGCTGAAGTTCTCCCCGTCGTGCTGCTCCCTCCTCCTCCGCCTCTCCTCGTCCTGCCGCCGGAGGCGCTCCTTCTCTCTCTGCCGCCGCTCCTTCTCCCGCTCGCGGTCGGCGTCGCGCTCCCTGAACTCTTTCCGTCCCTCCCCGTCGCCTCTGCAAGTGCGTCCCACAAACACGTCACCCTTCTGTCGAAAACGGGCAAAGCGAGGGGAAACAGACCAGAGGGAACTCACTTCCTCCCGCGGTCCTCCTTGCTCTCCAGGTTCGGACGCCTCCTCTGCTCAGCGTTTCCTACGGATCTGTCCTCTTTATTTGGCCTCTCGGGTTTCTTGGGTCTGCTGTAGGGCTTTTCAGAATCTCCATCGTCGCTTCTGTCTGGCTTTTTGAGGAGCTGAAAAGAGAAACAAAGTTAAAGCGAGACACTGGACATCAGGTGTACTGAAAAAACATCTCTATTTACAGCCCAAACCTTAATTTTTGGTTCTTCTTTAAATTGGTCCTTGTCTTTCTCCAGCGGCTTATCCATTCTCTTCAGCTTCTCCGTCTCTTTGCGTTTCTTCCTCTCATCCTCCCTCCACTTACGACGCTCCTCATCTCTCAGACGCTTACGCTCAAGCTCCCTCCTTCTCCTCTCCTCTCTCTTTTCCTCCTTCAGTCTCTGAATGGGATCAAATGGGACCTGTGAGGTAAATTTCTAACACATACCACAACAGAGCACACATCCAAAGAAAGCATTTACCTGTTTATTCTTCAAGAAGTCCAGCAGTGGAGTCGTTTTTTTACCTTGATGAGAAAAAAAAAAGTATTATGCCTCCTTTTGTCTGTCTGAAAACAAACATACGCCTATGTTTTTGTTAACACACCTACAAGCTCCTTACTCCTCGCCTCGATCTCTTCTAAAAGGGTTTCAGGCGTGGATGTGAACTTCTCTTCATCTCCGTTATAAAATTCAAGGAATTTTTTATAATCCGGATCTAGCAGAAAATGAAAAGTTTGGAGTAGTTTAAAGCTATAATGTCTGAAGTAAAAAATATAAATGAAAAACATTTAGTTCTGGATCAGTAATGCTAATCTGACCCATGTTCTCTGATCTATTACAGCACAGTATCATCATCTTCAGTGGCTTTACCTTCTATGATGGTTCCACACTTTAAATCTTTCTTTTTTATTTTCTTCTTGGCAGTTTTCTGAAAGGGTGCAAACTCCACAACAGCTGGATACTCCTGACCTGTTTCAAAACAATATGTGGATTAAAACAATTATGTTTCAGAGCACAAAGAAGCTACATATCTGTTTATTCAGCTCTCAAAATAAGGCTTTCCTACCTCTGTTATCTATAAATACATATCCATCAAAGCGATCTCTGAAGAGCACTATATCGTCTTGATTTTTGAAGTTGATGTAAGCCCTTGCAAAGAGGTGAGGGTAGAGGCTGAGAAGACAAAAAACTCGTGTCAGATGGGCTGCAGGGAATGTAAAGATGCAGAGACTTCTTATGTAAAAACTCACCTGGTGTCGTTAGAGAAAAACTCCAAGTAATCCACCTCTGGGAGAGGCTGAAGCTGCTCCTCTAACTCCTCCTTGGTCAGATTAGGTGGTAATCGTCTGATCACGATCTGTCATCGTTAGCAATTTTAAATAACAACACATGCACAATAATAATTATACAAGCATCCGTTTGAAATGTACGATATGAAGTTTGGGGTTTGTAAAGTGGCGCGAATTTTGGCGATAATTTCATGGTAAAAAAATAAATAAATTACGCATTTAAAGTCAAATCTTACAAAACAAAACTTGGCTAAACGTGGGGTAATATTCTATAAACACTATTCAAGTACGTAATTGACGGTGTGTAGCAGCATTCGCCATCAAAGCTAGCAAGTTTTACCTTTGTCATGGCCTCCTTCTTTTCCTTGGGTTTTTCTGTTTTGTCTCCATCTTCGGTCTTTATTTCCACCCTTTTCTCATTTGGTCGGGTGTTTTCTTTATCCTCCTTCATGTCTGAAATGCGACCTCTCAACCGCGATCAGTTCTCACCTCATTTAACAGACTTGTTTACTTTTTAGCAAGTTAGCCGGCTAGTAGCAATAGAACTAACCGTAGCTTCCTCTCTGGCGGTTGTTCCTGTAGTTAAGCATAACCGCCAGAGGAAGGCGCTGTTGGCAAAAACACGGGATTGACGGGATTCTGCTTCACTAACATTCACTAACATTTCATTAATCTATTTAATCTATCCATTGTTATATATATATATATATATATAGACATACATACATACATACATACATACATACATACATACATACATACA